GCCCGAGCGCGCCCTTGGTCACCCGTGGCTGTCTGTAGGCGGCTTCTCATGGCCCGTTTTCCAAAGGCAAACAGCGCATTGGCGCGAGTTCCAAAGAGCTTGCATCCTTCGCAGCGCAAGCGAAGTAAACATTTGCACCCGAATTTCCAATCATTGGGGAAAATATAACTGCAACCTCTTGAGGTCGGTTTTTTTTATAAAAAGTTACAGTTATCAGATCAGTTAATCCATATAATGATTGCGCGGGGGCACTGCATGAGCTAGCGCGGGTGCTGATTATGACACTTTCTAAACTGATGTTTAACACTATCAGCGCCATGTGGGCCGCCGCGCCGGCTGCTCACAAAAATTTGACTACAGCAGGCCACTTTGTATCTTCGAATGTTAATCAGCAAGCCATGTGGGCCGCCGGCCGCTCACATAAAGCCAAGTACAGCAGACCACCATGTATTTTCGAATTTTATCTGGCAGACCATGTGGTCCGCCGGCGTACCACAATTACGAATAAAATTTTTTTTTGATTTTCTGCAGGCCAACAATATAAGTTGTGCGTTCGCCGAACACAGCCAATTGTTTGGCACTTCTGTTACAACTGATCCAGAGCGTAATCAAGTATCGATCTCGTCCCTAGTGCAGCATCCGTCTGTTTTTGGTAGAATCACGGCGTAACCCGCGGCCTGCTGGTATAGCTTGAAGATGTCCTGCTGGCAACCTTCATGGCTTGCTACATAAGTTACTTGATACCAGGCGTGGCATGCTATGAAAAAAAAACGCATGTCCCGCCGAAAGTCCACATGGCCTGCTACAAAAGTTACTCATAATCAAGCGTGGCGTGCTATGAAAACAAAACGGATGCCCCGCCGGCAGCCCACATGGCCTGTTGTTTCAAAAAAATTGTTTGTTCTATGGCGCTGAGAGTGTTGAACATGATGTTTGTCTAAACACATCTTTACAAAAGGATCTATATAAAATAAATTAATAAAAGTTTATTTACAAATAAATATTTTTATCGTAAACACACTGTATTTGCCCAAACTATACACTCGGATTAATCGTACTATATTTGCGCGTAAGTGAAAATAAATTTATGTTTAAATACATGTGTATTAAAGTGCGTAAAAATATTTATTTCTAAATAAACTTTTCTCTATTTAATTTTGTACACATGCAATTAAAAGTTATGAATGAAAAACCACCTACAACAAGCAAAACAAAAAAAAAATTAAACTTACTGTGTTCCAAAGCACCAAAGCCGAAACCACCCACCGCCACATGATTCCACATTGACCCAACTGCAAAAGCCACCATTCTATCCCTTATATCTATCCTCTCCGCTATCTTCATATCTTCCAATTATCATCAAAGCTACATGATCAGATAACCAGTTGGAATATTCACACGCACTAATAGACTGTGTCGATGTACGACACGTACGTGACATGGTGGCGTAAGCACATTTTTATGATTAGGTGGGTAAGTAGGTATATGTATATAGATTACTAAGACTTATTGTCTTAATGCTTAATGGCCTAATTCGGTCGGCCCTGGTGTATAATAAGGCCATATCTGCAAGATGACAACTTTTCAGGAAAGAAGTTTCAAGATTCTTTGATCGAAATTAGTCGATATTTTTTTATTCTGAAATATGACGGTTATTAAATATCGCACATACATTTGTTAAAAATATTAAATAATAATCTCAGAACAGAGTACTAAAAAAACCGACCTCAAAAGTTATTCATCCCCTCGTTTGCCACCCTTAGAGGTGGAATTGGACCACTACTGAGTCATCCTTTTTCCAACGAAAAAGAATCATCCGAACCGGTTTTCAAAATTATCCGGCCGGAGTTATCGCGTAATATATATACAATATAAAACATACAGTCGAATTGAGAACCTCCTCCTTTTTTTGGAGTCGGTTAAAAAAGGATATAATATTTATATTTAAGTTAAAAAGCAAACTTTGCTACTTTGACCTACAACAACTTACGTGGTAGGTATCAGTATTCTTTACCGCTTAAAGCTAATACAAAAGCAGAGTGGTGTATTTAGAAGATTACATTAATATGGCCATTACAACATTTAAAAATTAAATAATATTTTTAAAGAAATGCCAAGTCAAGAGTACGCTTAACCTACGAGCATGTATATAAGTGTTGATGAGGACAATGAGTGTATCAGGAACGTTGTAGGTGGAGGGCTGTTCTCTGCCCCGATGCGAAAAATGTAAAATATTTTTTCGTTCATTGATTATTCTTATTTTAATTTTGAATAAATTTTGACTAAAATCACATTTATTTTTATTTTATTTTTTATTTATTTTTTTTTTTTTTGATTTATTGATTATTTACTTTATATTCTTAAATTTAGTTTTATTATTTGCATTCTGTTTTTTAATCATGTTAACATCTATTATAACAAGCATGATTTTTTTTAGACGATTTTATTATTTTGGGGCTCAAACAGAGATGGGCAGTAAGTAAGTAAAAAATGCAATGCAAAATTCAACCCTCTCGTGTTTTAACCGGGATTTTACTCGGCTGTTAACCCAAATCGGCAGAAACGGACAACATGGAATTTGGTATAATTCCATACTTATCGTTGTGAAAAAATCATTTTTAAACGAAAAAGAGGCAACCCCACACAGTACCCACATTTCAATCCCGTGGACTCTCACCGTACAAAGTACTCTGTTTTTTTTATTAATAATTTTGGCTTGGATACAAGTCCTTTGAGCCATGTCTTCGTTTAATTATGTTTCTGTAAATATGGCCGCCACAAAGAGGATAGACAATTTGAGGCGGCGTGTTTGAATTGACTCGGGATTCCTTAGAACGACCGATACGGGTATTTTAGTTCGAGATTCGTATAATTTCGCGTTTTAATCTTCGATTAAGGCACAATAGCACTATCCTATTCCACTTTAACCTACATTTCACAAAATAATTGAAAGTCAAAATAAAAACGACACTTTTCCCCCCAAAAGGCCCAGAGCGAATCAAAGTACTCTGTGACTCTCACTTACTACTAGAGATACATATTACGATTCGGTTTTTATGAAAATCGATTCAAATGTTTTTTTTTATGATTAAGTGACGACACGACCAAGTTGTGCACCTGATAGTAAGCGACACGCCTGTACGTAACAGTTGCAGTGCCGCTCAGAGCTTTAAATCGTAAAAATCTAAGGGGCACTGCCACTCTTAGAGGATGGAAAAAACAAGTAATCTAAGCTGCCACTGCGCCCGTCACCCTGAGACATAAGTTGACAAGTCCCATGTGCCTGTAATTTCAGTTTAATTTCAGTCAGTGAAAACATCATAATAAAGTTTCACGTAAATATTTGGCAGTGCAACACTAGTCATTTTTTAAAATTTAGTATAAAGTTAAATTTAATTGATATTTAATAATTTTTTAACAATTTCAATATTGTGTATTGAGAAAAAATAATTATTGTTAAGAAACGATTACGTTATAATAATAATCACATTTTTTGCTTCATGTGACAACCCTTGCTCATCTGCATAAAAGGGGGCATTCATTATCCTGCATTGCAGTCCGCCTTGCCTTCCGCCGCATAATGCAGGATTATTAATGTAGTAGCAGTGTGCATGCCTTCCTGCAAACCTGCAATGCGTCCTACGAGACTCCATACATGGGCAATATGCAGGATAGAGTGTGAGCAGTTTCCTGCCTACGCGGCAGACTGCCATGCAGGTAGTGAATCGGCCGCGCGGCAGCCACGCGGTCGTGCTGCGGAGTCCGCATTGCCGCCACGCAGCGACTAAGTGCATCTAACTGTGTCATGGCAAAATACGCTCTATTTATTTAGCTTTTACGTTTTAACTTATATGAGGGTCCTGGCCACGCGGGCGAGTCTGGCTTGAATTTAGTCTACGAGGCGGTTTGCGCGGCGACCGCGCATTAGTATTATTCAGAGGATTTTAAATGTTGTTGCCTAATGAATAGAATTCAGATTCGCCATTAATGTATGTACGGAAAACGGCACATCGGACTACACATTTTTGTTCGAAAATCGCCTCTAGTCCAACGGAACAAGATACGTCAATGTGTAGCTTAATATGCTAGCGTGTGTACAAGTTTCGCCTCGTGTAAGCGTCCAGTTACATATTTGGTGATTGTTTTCTCCTAAACTACTAAAAAAATCTATTTACGTTATGCACTACAATAATTATTAACGGACTTTAGCAATGTTGGTCGTGTCAACATGTTCCTAATAAACGCTTAGGTTAGCGGACATGTCAAACGACGTGTTGATAATTTAAAGTCTAACAGTCGTATAATATGTCACAAGCCTTACCATTTACGGCGAATGCCTTAAAGGGGGTATTCATTAGCCTGCATTGCAGTCCACCTAGTCGTCCGCCGCGTAATGCAGGATTATGAATGTAGTCGCAGCGTGAAAGCCATCCTGCAATCCAGTAATGCATCCAGCGAGATTCCATACGTGGGCCATGTGCAGGATAGTATATGAGCAGTCTTCTACCTGCGTAGCGGACTGCCATACACGTAGTGAATGGGCCGTTTCAACTAGCACAAGACTAACAGACAGCCAACCCGGCCGATTGATCGCCAATTAATGTTGACCTTTTGTATGTATGATAAAATATATTATAATGCTCAATTAGTTTTGATTTTACTTGTTGATTAAAAGATTTAACAATTTAGACCGTGCTATTTTTTGTGTAATCTTCGTTTTTTTTTTGTTGCATTATCTTGCGAACTTCAAGTCATGATTGCTGGCTTAGCATTTAATGTACCCAGAGCCGTAAAAGTTAATAATAAAAAAAAAGTTTATTTAAAAAGTTCTCGTTTGAAAAGTCGTTGAAAATCTGAGATTTGGTGTAACGATTTTTATGACTTTCTATAATTAAAGATTCAGAAATTCTTTACATCTATTCAATAGACCGTTGTGAGAAATAACTAGCTCTTTGTCATCCATGTATCTGTAATTTTGGAAGAACCACACGCGGTGAACCCGCGTAGTTTTCGTCTCGCGTTTTGTGTATAAACTTTCAAGATTCCTCACTACAAGATGGAAGATTTCTTGAAAATCGAGAAGATAGGGGAAGGTACCTATGGGGTGGTGTACAAGGGAAAGAATAAAGTGACTGGCCAGCTGGTCGCTATGAAGAAAATCAGATTAGAGTCGGAAGACGAAGGAATACCATCCACTGCAATTAGGTATGGTTTCATTGAGTATTTCGGGCTTAATAACTTCTATTAAATAACAAACAACAAGGAAATATTACCCAGAAGCTATATTATCTTCCATTTGAAGTATATAAATTCATTATTTACATTCCTAATAACCTAAAACATCGACATTAATGTCACACATTCTGATGCAATTGCAGAGAAATCTCCTTACTGAAAGAGCTTTGCCACCCAAATATAGTGAAACTAGAAGATGTACTCATGGAGGAGTCCCGCCTGTATCTCATATTTGAGTTTCTTTCCATGGATCTTAAGAAATACATGGATTCTCTTGGACAGGGCAAGGTTAGTAATAACTATATCTTTTTGCACATGATTTACCCACAGACCTGACAAGTGTTACAAACGACGAAACTTTTAATACCCGACAAAAACTCCTTTTATTGTATATTGGATTCTACAGTGTCGATGAGTCTTTTGAAACAATTGTTATTATGTTTTACTTGACTTCGTTGTATTTAGACAAGCCGTGGTTATATACTACTGTATTTTATATTCATTGTCATTGTTTGTGTTAGTGATGATCATGTTATCCCTTGGCATAGTATTTTTTATTGTAATTGTTGGCGAGACACTTGCCTGGTGGTTTTAGAGAGAGAGAGAGAGAGAGAAGGGCAAAAGTCTTAAAAATCCTTTGGGATCTTAGGAACGTATATTCGCAATTTGTATGACAACTGACCAATTGAATATCAAAAATATAACATCAAAAAGAACAAAATTGAAAGGAATGAAACCTATAAAATCTACCAAAAAGTATGTGTTTTGCACACAGTAATTGTGACATTGATAATATGAAATTCATGCCTATACTATTCATGTAACTATCAGATAAGGATTTTTAGCTGTCCATTTTTTATTTATTTCTGTTTACCACTGTAAATAGTATTTATAATAACCCATTTGTGGACAGTACATAAATAGTACAATAATAATAATAATTGCCTTTATTGCTGATAGGTACATTGTTCTACAAATGTTACCATATTGCACACAAAACTTACATAGTATTGCACACAAAAATGTTACTGCTTTTCATGCCTTATAATGATTGAATATGAAATGTTGAATGTAAATAATCTCAGAAAAGAGTACTAAAAAACTGACCTTAAATGTTTGTGTAATTCGAATTAAATTAAATAAGACTTTATTCATCAAACAGACCCACACATACATAGAACATCACATAATACTATGTACTAATAAATTAAGAGCTATGAGTGATGAAAAGGTCGAAGTATAGTGCTGTTTTTCAGTCTCCGCCTGTGATCTCTGTCGGAACTTGTTGGAACATAATTTCGAACAAAAAGACTACAACAAAACAAACATTAATCTAACTTAAATTTGACTATTTATTTACTAGTTACAAATGATGATAATACACACATCAAGCAAAAATAAACTAATCAGTATGACAAAGGGTACAAATGACTGTTATGTTGCAAAATAAGCCGTTCCTTGCACTTTCGTTTGAATGTATAATAAGACTCAGCCGTCTTCCCTGGTGGTGGAAGGTCATTCCAACATTTAGAGGCGGCAAAGCAGAAGCTGTCTCTGTATGACGTCAGATGTGGGCGAATCCGCATTTGTAACATTGGATATATAATTTATCGAGTGTTGCTCTTCCCCCTATCATTCCAATTCAATTTATCAGCCAAATACTGAGGCGCACTACTCACTCGTAAGTTGAATATGAGCCCATAAAATTTTTCAATTAAAAGTATTTCTTAGAAATGGAGTAATTTGAGAACAACACCTAATTGCCAAGTTTTATAGAAATAGGTCACTGGAAAGTGCGCGAAACCCGATTCATCCCCTAGTTTTCCACCCTTAGAGGTAAAATATTTTCTTCAAATTTAAATGGGACTAATAATTAGGTACTGTAACTGGGGCGTAGCTTGGGATGCGTAGCGAGAGGCACCTTTACGAATTCAAACTGGAACAATCCTCAAAATTTCTTTATTGCACATTTTTACATGCTTATAGCGTTGGGTTACATTTCGATCTATCAAGATCTCCATTCTTTTCTTACTTCATTTTTCAACACACATTCTAATTACAAAACTATTTATTCAGCCAGTGATTCTACTCATAGAGTAGAGCCTAGACTACAGTACCTTCTTTCCAACAATAGTATAGAATCATCAAAATCGGTTCACAAATGCTGGAGTTATTGTGTAACATGCATACAAAATAAAATACAATAGAATTGAGGACCTCATCCCTTTTTGAAGTCAGTTAATTATTGAATTTTGTCAGTATGTTGTTGATACTTCTCTACCGAAAAGCAGTAGACAGCAACTACTCAGAAAACACTTGAAAATCGCATTGTAAAGCCTGTAGTTGGTTTTTGAGATGTTTAATTTTGCAGTAAATGCACTGTTCGTGAATAGACTAAAGTTATGATCTAAAATTTTGAATTAAAGTCTGTATTGTACCAAATTCCAACCGATAGCTGTACTGCCTCTGTGGCCAAACAGTGGCCATGCAGAGGTCCCGGGTTCTGTATGTGTTGTCTTTTGAGCTTAAGGAGTTTTGGGGATAAGCAGACAACCTGTTAGTATATTAAATCAAATTAACAATATTTTACTTTATTTTCAGTTCATGGACCCAGCTGTGGTGAAGAGCTACTTGTATCAGATAAACTCTGCAATTCTTTACTGCCACCAGCGACGCATCCTGCATAGGGATTTGAAACCGCAAAACCTTCTAATTGACAAGACTGGCATCATCAAGGTAACATGAACGACCTCGGTGACTCAACAGTTTATATTGTGGACGCTAAGATTTGTAAGGTCCCGGGTTCGATTCCCGGTAGGACTAAATTGGAAAATGAAATTTTCTAAATTGGTTCTGATCTGTGTGCCCTGGGGTATTGCCCAGAGGAGAATAGAAAACAGATTTCCTGAATCCCGAATATATCCACTTTCTGTTTCTGTTCCTCATAGAACCCTCTACCTATTCTGATCACTGAAAATCATAAATCTTTATTTTTCTTCACAAAGATGTAAATTACACTCCCGAACTCATAATTCGAGCCACCTTGCATTTTTATCCTTAAAGGCTAGAATATAAAAACATAGTTATCGTTGAAGAAAAAGATTTTCAAGTTTTTTAAATTTAAATTTTCATCAAAATTAAAATAAAAAATAAATTAGATTAAGTGAAGTGTAACTTATTTATTAGTCTTGTATTTGGCTAGATTGTAATGTATTTACGATGTACTTTATTGGTGCTTATAAACAAATGAAAAAGAAAGTCAATAAGGATTTAAGGAAATGATATTTAGTATACCAGTTTCAAAGTTGCACAATAGTTCTTGATCAATCAAACTTGGTAATCGACGCGCTTATCCATAACAGTTGCAGTTCCACTCAGAGCTTTAAATCGCAAAGGTCTTTGTCACAAAGACCTGAGGTGCACGGCCACTGCGCCCGTTACCTTATGACATTGACAAGTCCCATGTGCATGTAATTTCACTAGCACCCTTATCCTTCAAAACCGGAACGTTGTAACGGTCACACTACTGCTTAGCAGCAGATACAGGCACAATGGCAATTATTACCTGAACGAAATTTTTCACAAAAAACTCTACTGCTTACTCTCAGATTGGTTTTTATCATGTTTTTATTAACAAACGAAAATCACATATTTCGGATATAGGACCTTTTCGTAAATTATGAAGAATCTTGTAATGTGTAATGGACTGGTCTGTATGGCTGTATCTATTTCCAGGTGGCGGATTTCGGGCTGGGTCGCACGTTTGGCGTACCAGTTAGGGTGTACACGCATGAAGTGGTTACTCTTTGGTACAGAGCACCCGAAGTTCTGCTGGGCTCACAACGGTAATATTCAACTTCAATATTTTGTATATGGAATGTAAGGAAGAATTTCTTTTCTGTTAAGAATAGCAGAGCCGTGCCCAATCGTGAGGCCTATAATAATGATGATGACCATACTGCTACAGGTATGCGTGCCCCATTGATTTGTGGTCCCTGGGATGTATATTCTCCGAGATGTCATCAAAGAAACCTCTCTTCCAAGGAGACTCCGAGATCGATCAGCTATTCCGTATTTTCAGGTAATAAAATTTGTTTCAAAATTCTGTAAAACAGTCTTCTCATACAAAATGTTCCGATGATATCGCACGTTTTGTCTGTTAAATAAAAAATAATACGGGATTTTTTTTATTACATTTAGGCCAATAAAAAATTAAGAATTTTTGCCGTTGCAGTGAAAAGTCGTTGACACAACAGACGCAATTGATTTTGTTTTTCTTTCGAAATATCATTACCAGCATGAATAGTCAACAAATCCATACAATAAAATTATATTACGACGTAATCAGAGCGGTGGTAGTCCAGTGGTAGAATGTTGCTTCTCAATTCAGAGGTCAACGGTTCGCACCCCTTTGCGGACATGTATTTATTGACTTTAAATTCTAAGTTACTTTTTTGAATGTTAAAAGTCGATACTGCCTCAGCCTCGAATTAAAAATTTTCCTTAACTGAATCGGTTCTATTGCGCGTGTCGTACGGCAGGATTTAAAAAAAAAAAATCGTTGGTATACGTACTTACTGAATACAGCGGTTCTCCAGTAAAATTTCGAGGTAAGTTTGTGTTGTTTTTCTGTTGTGAAAATTTTCAGGAATCGTGTTTTCACACCATATACTAATCAGTGTGTATATCCTCAATTGCTAAATTTTTTCCAAAGTGTTTCTTTTTTTTTTGTAACTTTAAAGTGTAAACTAAATGGTGAATAGCAAAGCCGTGCCGGTTAATGGTAAAAAATGGTTTTTGTTACACCGTTAGCAGCACAAATTTTTGTATTTTTTCTGTATCTATTTCTTAATTAATAATAATAACAAAAATAATAATTGCACACTTTCACTGTCATGCGGAATCAACCAAAGCCATTTGAGGTTGTATCAACTGTTGTAGCGATTCCTAAGACTGCGCGAGAATTCTCTGGAAAACGCGCGATCGATTCTAGTTCTACGTTGCACACTTAACATAAGTTCATTATGCTATGGTTACAAAAAGACGCTTTTAGTCAAGTAAATTTAACCCTATAACTACCTTTAGAGGAGACCCGTGCTCAACCGTGAGACGAATAATGAATTTATGATGTAACATATGTTGCAGAATGCTCCGTACGCCGACAGAGGACATCTGGCCCGGCGTAACACAGCTACCCGACTACAAATCCACCTTCCCCAATTGGAACACTTATAGCTTGCACAATCACGTAAGTTCACACAAATGCATTGCTTGCTTGAACTCTGAATTATAAGCGATGGTCGGAAAAAGATGTTTCACATATATGTATAAATATAGCTGCAAAGAGTTATATACAGTTGGTAAAACTTTACAGGATGAAGAATAAAATTGTTTGCGTCAACTGGTTTATTAAATAAAAATACGTAGTTTTTAAATACTATTATTACACATTTATGTATGTACACTACGTATTTTATTTAATAAACCAGATGCTATATAAATGATTTTGTCTTCATCCTGTAAAGGTGTCAACATTGAGATAGTACCAGTTGCCAGTTCACAGTCGACATTTTAGTTCATTACTTTGTTCGAATTCCGTGTTTCCAGAATTATTTTTATAATCAAACTTTGACTTGCAACATCGTAGGACAAAACTACTAGGTATATAGTATAGGTAATAGCTTTGTCATACGATGCAGTAAAACCATACCCGAATTCGAAAAAAAGTAATGAATTCAAATTTTGTAGTTTTAACGACTCTTTGTCACTCCTTGTAGCTGTACGATAAGGTAATTGTCGTGACGCGTTTTGAAGACCACACGTGCAAGTATTATAATCAATAGGCAATCGGATAATAATCAGAAAATATCTAAAAGGCAGTTAGAAAAAACGGTTGTGTTTCATTTTCTTCTTAACGTATTGAACACTATAATCTGGATGAAGGGATCTGCCAATCGGCGTAAGACACTGGCTGGTTGTTGCTCACGGTGCACATCATTCTTTAGATTAGCTAATTTAAGTCTCTCAATTTCAATCACTGGTCATAATCTTGTTTGTAATGTACTGTGATTCCGCAACTAAACGACTTATTTATCTATCTATATCTTCATTAACAGGTGCAAAACCTAGACGAAGATGGTATGGATCTCCTTCAAAAGATGTTAGTCTACGATCCGGTGAAACGCATCTCGGCAAAGGAAGCTAGACGCCACCGCTACTTCCGCAACGTGAAGCTGCCAGGAGGGCTCGCCATACAGCCGTCTTATATTCACTACAGCTCGGATTCCGACGACAGTCCGCACTACCGACGCGCATGATTCAGGTTGTACTATTGGTGACTAATGACCAACGATCTGCATAAGGTGTTCCAGATGAGTAGATAAATGTCTACGTATAGATACAAGGAGCAACATAGACTGGTTAAACCCACCAATTATCAATTAATTACTTGTTTCGAATTTCGGATTTTCGGAAATAAATTTACTTCATCGTAAGATAGAATTACTCACTTATGAAGCTGAAGTTATATTTTAAAGCAATGCTTGGGGAGCCATGTAAAGAAATGTAGTAGGTAAGTAATTACGTTATTAATAATAATATACACATCAAAAATGTCGAGGGATCAAATACGTTTTTGCCAATTACTGAAAATTTGGTTTGTTAATTATTTTTTGAACACCAATGGTTTTTTTTTTCAATTTTAAAATTTAAAAAATGAGTAACTTAATAAATAATTTAATCCATTTATGTAGATATTTATGTTTAACTTTAATAGGGTAATAAAATATTACAAAAATTACCTTAATCCTTGATGTACACTTGATGTGTGCAATTTCATAAGGAAATCTGTAATTCAAAATTCAATTAATTACTAATTGGTGGTTTTACCACGCCATGTCACTCCTTGTATGTATATGTAGATATTTATCTACTCATTTGGAATACCCTATTTCGACTACTACTAATGACCGACGCTTTAAGCGCATTAATTATTTTAATAATCGGCGATGTTGTTTTCCCTTCTATATTTTGTCTATTAAAGGTTGAACCACACATGGAACTGCACAGCACTCAGTAATCGTGTTTTTTTATATGGTATCGGGCTTCCCCGTGCGCAAACGGTCAAATATGTTATAGCAAAAAATTTAGCACAAAATTCTCTTTTAAAAACAATTAAAATTTGTTCTCATGTTCGACATATCGGTACTTACTCTAACGATGCATAGCTGATATCGAAGCCTTACTTTCTCAAACTCGAGGGTGATTTTGCAGGAGATGGCAAAACTTTATATTTATTTTAAATTTCTTATCAAGGGTGTTAATTTGAATGCATTACTTCAAGAATAGTGCCAGTGTGTGAATATGAAGGAAATATGATGTGAAATCAGTGAGACGAGTTTTGAGAAAGTAAGGCGACTAAATATCATTAAACAATTTCAATATTCTAAAACTGGGTTGTGGTTTTTTATGATATCTCAAAAAAATATTTTGTCACTTATTCTCATTGACTTACAAATAAATGGACGACGGGTCTAATACAAAAACCACGAAAAAAATGTCCCAAGTCAACCTATTCGAAATTTAAATTGTAATGTCATCGCAGTATCGCGCTGTCAGTAGAACAAATGAAGACTAAAGCGGAGTGTCGCGCTCTGTATACGATTTTAGCGCCTTACAAGTGCGGACACTTTTTAGCGCGGACCCAACGTCCATATAATTGTAAGTCAATGCTTATTCTTCTTGTAGTTAGCGGAAAGCAGAATATGAGACGTATCACATAAAAAACATGCTTTTATTATCTGTAGATAATAGGTAAAGAAGTAAGTGAACCTTAGTAAATGTTTTAAAGATAATAAACCTTTTAATTGGTCATTTAAAGGCAATCTTAAGGTCAAATAAAATATTCTAAATAAAAAATAAACGGCTATAGGACTTAATATCTTTTCTAAAGCCATGTCTGTGAAAGCATCTAAACTGAAAAATATGGACTAAGGTCCTTTACCTCTCTCTCACCTATATATATATGCGCTGTGCAGTTTCGGGCTCAATAGGATCCAACCCTAAAGTGTACTGTATGGAGCTATCGACTTGCGCAAATAATTCTTATGCTTTTAATATACAGAGCAACTTGAAAAGCAAATGTTTTATGTTTTCAAAAACCATATCACACCCTCAATAATACAGTGGCGTATTTCAAAAATTTACGTTTTTGGGAAATAGTTAAAATATATATATTTTAAATAACGCTCGATCTAACATTAATATATTGAGCAATGTTTGTTGGCTTCGTTTAATTTACATGTTTTTCGATATCTTTTACTGAAAAACTTGCAAAAGTTTATTGTGGCAGTGCTGTTTTATAGATTTACAACTTGTCCCGTCTAAAAATATAGTTATTTGTGAGAAATCATGGATTGATGTACGAGACGTTAGACACATCGAAACGCAATCCATCAGTATCGCTGTAACACAGATAAAGTTTTTTTTCTGCCCGGCTCTAACCTATTCAGTTGCAATGAGTGTGACTCCCTATCTCGTGATATTTGTTTTCTATATATAATTGACCGATGTTTATTGTAAAATAAACGTCAATGCCGTGACTACGACGACATCATATCATATGTCGCGGATACCGTACATACATACTCTCAAAAGTTCGTCATGTCATTAAACTTTGAACTGGCAAAATTCTCTCATCTGGATTGGCAAAACTTGCCATAAGAAGAAAAAAAAACTAATATGTCGTTTATAATATATAATTTTATTCATGTCGTTAAACTCGTAACTGGCAAAATTCGCTCATCTGGAGTAGATAAATTTGCTACAAGAAAAAAATTGATGTATCGTTTTTTTTATACCAAATATACTTTTATCATATTTATTATTTGGTTGGTGCCAACCAAATGGTCAGACATGTCTGGTGTCAAGTACGAAGTTTTTATCTCTGTTGTCAGTTCTTAAAAAAATACTTTTTTTAATTAGCCACTTTATTATTGATCCCACCCTATACTGAATTTTTACATTACAAACCCAAATAATGAGTATCGTAAATAATAAGAAAAATTCACTATGAAATTCAGCGTACACTTTTAAATTGCATTGTTAGGCGGCTTGTAATACCAAACTAATTCAATGCATGTCAATTGAATGAAGTGTGGCAATAGTTTTGTGTATAATAGACATTACAAAAGTCACACCGTGACATCGCTACGCCCCTATCTCCGTTACGTTTAAATTTTGACCAAAACATTCAAAAGTAGGGGTCGACTATAGCTCCATAAAGTATTCTAAGGAAAGACAAAATATACAAAGAAAAACGACGAGCTGTCGCCACACTGCCCGTTTAAACTTTTTGTATTGTAAAGTATACTGAACGATAGAAGACTAAAGGTCATTTTTGAACGTTTCATTTCGAACCGAGGCAGTCAAACAGTATTTTTTATGATAATGACGGGACGTCATTAAACTCAAAACGGGCAAAATTCTCCCTCAATCTGGCGTTGATAAAGTTGCCATAAGAAGAACAAAAAAACGAATGTATCGTATTTCAACGGAGACCAATATGGCTGGTTCACTCGTATTAAGTCACGAAGTAATTAACTAAATTTTAACATAATTTATGAGTGTAAACAATCACTTAACAACCTATTTTTTGACAAAATAACTGACCCTCTCTCACCCCACCATTCCCCGGTAGACGTGGCTTGAAGTTTGAATCATTTGGTGAGCTAACGTTTTGTTTGCAAAATGTCAAAGCACTTATAAGTTCACTAAAACGCGTGTAAACTTTAGACTACTTAAAACTGAGTCAAAACTTACTTAATTACTTAGTCACTTAATAAGTGTAAACCAGGTCCCCCAAGTCTGCTAATTTTCTTGAAACCAATTATCATTGTAATTCTGTTGAGACACACTGAGATTATATTGTAATATGATAATATTTGTTATTCTATTAAAACCTAGTTGCAATGGCAGTTGAGCCTGAATATGTGTCATTTGAAATGAGTTCAATCAATGACGATCGATGTTGCCTTACTAAAACTATCACGGAAATTACTATTCATTTCTTCATTTTTATCTCGTTTAATCAGACAATTAGTCCTCATATTAAATATATTTTATATTAGTCGAATATCAAAAAAATGCAATGGCAGTTGAATAGTAACTCCATGGTTAGCCACAGACAAACCACTACTCTTCACTTTTAACCAAATACTAAGTGTACAAAATCCGGCCATTGGCACTATCGACACACAGCTGATCCTCTTTTTCCCGTGGTCCTACTGCGTAGTTCTACTGGTAGTACCAAGGGCAACGTTTTTTATAGGTGGCTGTTTAAACGAAAAGCACTTTAAAAAGTTTGCTTTTTGAGATAAGCATGGAAGCAAGCTTTTCAATTTAAGCGTAAGCGTTGGTCAGTTCAATACTCAACAATTTGATTTTTTACAACGTTCATTATGTTTCAAGTCCCGCCATCAATGTTTCCTAAACAAATTAATTCGTCAGTGTGAATTTTATAAATAAAAATAAAAGTCGTGTTTTACAAATAAACTTACTTGTTTTAAAACCTTTAGTGGTCTACTCTTGCTTTTCGCTATCAACACAACGTTGCAAGCTTTTTATAACATAAAAGACTATGCGGTTAAACTTTATTCTAAACGATTTTGTAAGCTTCAAACACTTAAAAGCTTTTTAACTTTTAAGTGTTTGAAGAATTTAGAAAAGTACGCTTTCTTAAAAAGGCAACGCTTTAACGTTTTAAAAAAGTGTTTTTCCATTTATAACGTTTTTTGTCCTTAGTTCTACCAGTGTGACTAACAGGAAAATTTTTATACTGTATGGGCATTTGCTGGTCGTCAATATTATTAATGTTACTGGTTCTAAACTACTGGTAATACTTGATATGATTAAAAATTAGCAGACTTGTCGCCATTAGACTCGGAAACCAGAATGACAATTTTCTATACTGATCACCACTGTAGCTTTGTATTCGACGAGGTAATACATATATGTGACATGTCTTTATAAAATTTGACATCAATGTTAAGGAGATATTTTAGACGAATATATGTTTGATAGGTGTTTTTGAAAGTCTGACTGTGTACCAGTGGCGAAAGGTCCATTAACCCCTGACCCATCTGCTTGCATTAGAAAGTTATTCTACTATCATGTCAAACCTATACACTATAACAAAAACAGCGTTTTGAGAAAAAGGTACAATAAGGATTTTTCATTTGTAATTTTAAAAAAATGTAGTTGATAACATAAAAAGATACATTTAACGTATTTATTGCATTAGACTTACATTGTACTAGATTGTAATTGACGTTCTAAATAAGCCATTCGTATTGAAAAACTACTAAATTTCTTTTGCTTTGATAACAGCCGCAAGACCCTTGTAATGAATTTCAATGTTCTCATACACATAATACACAAGATAAGTTCTGTTTATAGTAATCAACGTTTGAAATCTGTCGCACAACCTATAGAAACTGCAAATATTTACACAATTAGGATAATGAGCAGTACGAAAAAATAGGAAAAGAATGGTAAAAGTGATCAATCTTTTAGAGTGGTTACAAGGCGACTTTTAGTAGAATTGCATCGCTACACTTGCGATTTATAAGCGATTGCATCAATACAATATAAATCCCAAGTGTGTCGGTGCAATCGCGCGTTTG